CACAAGGCCCGCGGGCCAAATCCGTCCCACCAGGCCTTGCAATGTGGCCCGCAATAGCGATAACAGTCGTGCTGAAACCGCAATTCCTTCTGTTGGATGTTTGTAAAAACTACATTCACATCCATATGCATTCTCTTCTATGAAAAGGGTATAACAAATAGGATTTAACATATTTTTTTTCCTTTTTTATCTTCCTGCTTGTCTTTCCCCATAAGACATGCATCTGTCTAGCCTTTTCTCCAAGCTCCTGTGATGTTATACATACAATGTCCATGTGTACATTACAGTTTATTGTCTGTTTTCCCAAAGCGGAACTGTGTTGTATACACTTCTTAGCCTCCTACTTTCCGCAACACAGCCCCATGAGAGTCCCCCAAGTCACGGGTAGGCCGTTCTGTGTCGGTGACTGCAGAATGAAAAGCGTGCCCCCCACCCCATTCCCCGGAACTGCTCCCTGGTGTCAGACTAGGAGCACAGAACATTTAAAAAAAAAAAAAAATAGTGACAACTCAAAACCACAGTTTCTTGTTTTGGCAAGCGGAGCTCCAATGAGAAGACAAGCTCTGGGCTCCCACCCCCGGAACGCAGAACCACAGAGAGTATTCTGGGAGCCTTCTGCTCGCACACCCCGGATCCTCAGGGACCCTGGCCCAGCCCAGGCAACGGGGCAGCCTCCCTGCGTGCCTGGGAGTAACAGGTCTCTGCCCTCAGCCGAGGGAGCCCCTTCCCCTAGCCACCCCGAATGCTATGGCGGGCTTTTGGGGGGGGGATGTGCAGCAATGCGGGGGGTACAGGCAGCTGAGGCTCTCCCTCTTCCCACCACTGCCCAGCCGGCATAGCCGGCACAGGATCTGCTGGCACCTGCTCCTGAGATCTCCCTCCTTGCAGGCAGGGACGCCAAACCAATCCAACCAAGAAGTAGGTGGGCTCAAGGCTCACTCAGCCTCCTCTTCAAGGGCAAGACTTCAAGCCATAAACCAACAACCTCAGCTGCCCCCCCCCCACTTGCTGCACATCCCCCCAAAAAAGCCCGCTATAGCATTCTGAGCACCTACTATGTGCCTGGCAGGAGCTTTAACCTCAGGTTCATTCAAGCTTTGCAACACCCCTATGACACAGGTACTATGCCCGTTGTACAGAGGGGGAAACTGAGGCATGGCAGCCTGGCCCCAGAGCCCCACACTGAAGCCTCAGGCAATGAACAGACACGAAGCACAGAGAAGGAACTGGCAGCCTGACATTTTCATTCTTCTACAGCCCTGGCCGTTTTGCGGAAGAGAGAAAAGAAGTCACAGAGGGGAAGTAACTGGAGGAAGCCCAGGCTGAGAGGGTCAGGGTCACACAGACCTGGGTCGAATTCCAGTTTTGCCACCTTCATAAATCATGTAGCAAACCCTTTGTAAGCCAGTGAAGTGGCCGGGGACATGAGTCCTGGGGTTGCTCAGATGTTGGCAGCGCTGCCTACAAGACCCAGGGAAGCTCGCTTACACTACCTTTGCCTCAGTTTCCCCATGTGTCCATGGGGATCCCAGCAGCACTTTCCCCTGAGGGATGTTGGGAAGTTCAAATGAGCTGGTTCATGCAAAGTGCTTAGAACAGTCAATGGTGCCTCCGTCTCAGCTCCCCTGCAGTAACAGCTATGATGGTTGTCATCCTCATCAATACTGTCCAAGAGCACACGGCACAGGGAGCACTCAGCCCCGCGGGAGCTTCTGAAGGTGGCGATCCACTGCTCAGAACCAGAAGCCAGGGAAACTTCTCTCACAGCCCCTGCGCTGTCTCCCCAGAGAGAGCCGGCATCTCTCCCCGAGGGCTGCCCCTGCCTTTCCGTGACTCACACACACACAGAAGAGGGCACCTAAGCTGTCGGTCCCCCTTGGAGGTGGGGAACGGGGTGCAACCCAGTCCCTAAAGGAAGCTGGAAAAGATGGGAAGAATCTGGGGAAAGCACAGAGTCAGTCCCAGGCCCAATAAGCCACGGGCTCCTGTGGCCAGAGTTCAGGTGGTCCAAACAAAATCCACTCAGAGCCCCAGCCCTCCTTTCTGTGCTGACAGGGATCTCACGTTCTCCAGGCAGCCCTCCCGGAAAACCCTTCGTCTCTGGATGCTGGAACCCTATAATCCTAATCACCTATGTTGTGTAATTATCATATAACATAATAATTAATCATAACAACTAATACTTATATATCTTACTGCCTTCCAGGCATGTTCTAAGTGCTTTCTATGTATTTAATATAACTCATCCTTTTTTAAAAACCCTCTAAGATAAGATCTATTGCCCCCCCCCCATTTTACAGATGAGAAAAGTGAGGCTCAGAAAGGATAAGCCATTTGCCTAAGGTCACAGAGCCTAAGGTCACAGAGCCCCAGGACTTGACCCCAAGTGGTCTAGTTTCAGAGCCCAGCTTTGCACTTGAATTGATGTAAATCCCCACCCTCCAAGAGACTGTCCTCCCCTTGAGGGCAGGAACCTAAGACTGGCTTTTCTGCACCTCCCACAAGGTTCCGTTTGTACAAAGGCTTCCTTTTCCCTGGCAATTGGAAGCTTAAAACCAGGGACCCACGGAGGCCAGGGCGGCCCCTCCATGCCTGGCTCTGCCCACGTGGAATTAAAAGCAGGGCGGGACTACTGAGCATTCTTCCGTTCTCCCAAGCCAGGGGGTTGGGGGTAAAATCCCTTAGCAAGTATAAAAGCCGGGAGGAGAGAGTGGGAAGACAGAAGAGAATCACAACCTGCAGGCTGCCAGCGTCGCTGCTGCGTGGAAAGCTTTGGTAATTAACTGTTCCCGAAGCTCGGAGCCCTGGGCTTTCAACAAGAAAGGTCTTGGTTGTTGAGAGGCTGTGTCTGAGGGAGCAAACCGAGAGAAGCCTGCAGATCACAAACACGGTACGGCTGGTCGGGTTGCACAATCAGTCCATCTCTGACACCAGCCTAGTGACACCCAAAGGACAAGGCCCAGAGGAAGCCTGGATTCCCCTCCCCTCGTTTTACAAGCGGGGAAACTGAGGCCAGGACAGGTGACATGACTGGTCCAAGATGTCACAGTTGGAACAGCTCCTCTCAGCAATGACAGGTCAATAAATAGAAATTATAAACTCAGGAAATTAAAAATGCCAAGGAGATAATGTGGGAGTAGAGTAACGAGAACTCTTTTTTTTGTATTTCTTTAATAATAAGAATGGTTGATTCCAATCAATTTCCATTATTCCAGCTTCCTCAGACTCTACATGCGGACGATGTGAAGCCACAGCGAACCCACACACAATCTATATCTGTGCCGCCCCATCTAGGGTAAAGGCTTTCTTCCCCATTAACAGAAAAATCGCTTTCCTCTCTGCCTTCCAGACCGAGGAGCAGGGAGTGGCTCAGAAGGAGAAGTGAGGAGTTCCCTAGAATCTGACATTGCTCAGAGATGGCAGAGCTGTCTACATCTTTAATTCAGAAACTGCCAGCTTCAAACTGAGCAGATTCTTTTTTTTTTTTTAACTGTGAGAGATGGATTGGGGGGGGTAGTAGAATGTTAACCCTGCCTTATTCTCACAGGCCTTTCTATAATAGATGGGTCCTTTAGCCAAATGGTTTTCAATGCCTCTGCAAAACTCAACCCCATTCCCCGAAAACAAACACACACACACACACACACACACACACACACACACGCCCTCTTTTCACAGATTGAAGGGCTCTCTCCTCCCGAGTTGGAGCTCGGACCTCACACAGCCCCAGCTACACCCCCAGCCACTAGATACCCCATGCGAGTCTCCTCTTCCTTTTGTGCCCCCTACCCCTACCCTCCAGACTGGAAGCTGCAGAGCCTGGCTCTGGGTCCCTAAAGGAAACACCACCGCCCCCACCAGCCCTTCCTGAACCAGGATTAAAAGACTTCCCAGAGCTGAGGAGGGAGTAAATGAGGTCCCAGCAGGAGGCACGGAGATTAAAGCCCCGGAGTCGCCTAACTCTCAGAAACGCCTGGTCCGGTCCCACCCCCTCCACCGCGAAGCCACTTTTCTCACTTCCTAGGAGAGTGAGGAAGCGGCCCCTTCCTCCCTCTCACAGGAGAAAGAAAAAAAAAAGGAGGGGGGAGGACGAAATGCAGCACAGGAGAGGGGTTGAAAGCACCAGCTGGGCCTGCCCTGCTTCAAAACCCACCGTCCCCAACTAACCAGTGACTTCTGGGCACTCAGCCTCCCTGGAGCCACTCTCCCACCTACAACCTGGGGGGTATGCTCGTCCCCGCTTCCTGGGCCACTTGTGAAGGTTAAACGTCCTGATGACACAGGCAGGCGCCGGCCACAGAGGGAGCGCTCGGTTGTTATTTTACAGATATCTGTCGCTGTGGTTTTGAAACTTAGAGATGGGGGGGCGGGGGGGGGAATGGTGAGCGTTTGGGTTGCCAAGTCGTGAGCTCTAGCCCCGCTGTCCCCAAGCTCCGGGAAGAGCGTGTGCGCGGGGCCCAGGAGTCCTGCGCGGGGTCTTGTCCAGGTCCGTCCACGCTCCGGGCTTTGGGCTTTGTCCTGCGCTCCTCGGCGCGGGGGCACGCCGGGCTCCAGCATTTCCAGGTTCGGTCCCGGAGGAGGACCCAGGGGTGCACCCGGGGCGGCGGCGAGGAAAGCCCTGGCGACCCACAAGCAACAGCAAAAGCTCTCCAGGCGCTTGGGTCGCAGAGCCCTTGCCTCGCGGATGTAACTAATTTTAAAACTATTCCAAAGGCGCGGAGGGGAGAGAAGGAAAAAAGACAAAAGGGCAGCGCGCCCGGGGAGAAACGAAGTGCGGGAGACCCCGGGACGGGGCTGGACCGCGGGGCCGGCCAGGAAGGCGACAGCCCGGCCAGCTCCGGAGGAGCCGGGAAGCCTCACTCCTCCGCGCGCCCTGCGGGGCGCCCCTGCCTGCGGCGGCTCTCGCGCCCCCCGGGATCCGCGGCCACAGGTTGTGGGGACCGCCCCGCGCCGAGGCCCCGCGCCCCGCCGGCCCCGCGCTCCCCGGGGGAGGCACTCACCGACTGCAAGAAGCGCAAGGTGCCCACGTAGTCCCGCTCGGTGCCCAGGATCTCGTTGAGGACGCACAGGCGGAGGCGCAGCTGGCGCTCCGACTCCCGGGCGGCCGCGCACGGACCGGAGCCGGGCGCCGCGGCGCCGGGGGCCCGGGGGTCCGGAGGGGCACCGTGCTCAGCCCCATCGCCGCCGCCGCCGCCGCGATCGCTGCCGCCGGGGACCTCCATTCTAGCGCAGCCGCGTGGCGCCGGCTCCTTCCCCCGCCTCCCCGCGCGGAGGTCGCGCCGAACGGCGACTCAGGGGTCCAAGCACCCCATCCCGGACGGGGCGCGCCGCCGGCTCAGCCGCGGGCCGGGCGCTCGGCGCGGCGGGCGGGCCTGGGGGCGGGGGCCGGGCTGGGGGCGGAGGCAGCGCGCGCGGAGGCTGGACCGGAGGCGGGAGGGGGCGGAGGAGGCGGCCTTCGGGGCTCCCAGACGGCGGGCCCCCGCCACCCGCCCGCCCGCCCAGGGAGCGTCTGCCAAGTGCCACGCCGCGCTGAGCCGCAGAGACGCGCCGCCGCGGCGCTGGGCCGGCGACTTGGGAAGCTCTGCGCGGCGGATCGGGGCGCCCGCAGCCGGCGCCCGGGCGGGAGGAACCTCCGGAAGGGGCCCGGCGGAGCTCGCAGGCTCGCGCACGAACTCTGCCCCCGATCGCGTGGCGCCCCCACCCCCGCCGCGGGCTACGCCACTCCCCCCGGCACGGGCGGCCCCCTCGCGCCCAGGCACACGCACGCCGGTCCGGCCGCCGCGGCCGCTGCAGGGCCGAGTCCACGCCGGGTTGGAAAAGCTCGCGGCGGAGAGCTCAGGAGCAAGCCCGCCCCGACACGCGCGCCCCCGTCGGCCCCAGGAAGAGAGGGGAGGCCCCGCGCGCGCGATGGCACCTCTGGGACACCCAGCCCTTTCGGTGCCCTGGGGCACTACCACGACCTTGGGGAGAAACACGCGTGATTCCTTCTCTCTCTCTCTCTCTCTCTCTCTCTCTCTCTCTCTCTCTCTCTCTCTCTCTCTCTCTCCCCTCTCCATCTCCCTCTTTCCCTCTCTCCCTATCTCCCTCTCCCCCTTCCCTTATTTTTTCCTTCTATCCTGCCTTTTTTTCCTTCTGAACTTCCATGAGCAGAGCCTACCCTCTCCACATTCCCCAGAAGGAGTGATCTGCTCTCAGTTACTGATTGACAGCTGCTCTGCCTGAGCCCCCTTCCATCCACTCTGCCAGGGATGGGGTCTCCTAGTCCACGCTGCTGTGTGACAGATGGCTTCCCCCACCTCACAGGAAGGTCTGATGCTCAGGTTCAAATCTCATCTCCCCCACTTGCTAGCTGGGTTTTCTTGCCTCGAGAGCCTTAGTATTCTCATCAATGCAATGGGAATAAAAATGGTACCTAGCTCCCAGGATCCTTCACACCGTTATGTGTAAATCCATAGGGAGTTTTTGGAGCAGTGCCCAGCACTTAGAAAGATCTCTATAAATGTTTATTCTTAATTAGTATTACGTGTATAAACAGCCCTCTTGGCCAGACCCCATTCTCCAAACTGCCCATATAATCCTGATTCACTGGCCAGAGATTTTATTATCTCCTCAATGGATTAGCTATTTCACAGAATATCCCCCTGTAGATTATAATTACCCTTTAGGTAGGAACATTATTGCTTATTTATTTTCTGTTCCAAACTCCCAGGATTGTACTCCCACTGGCCTCTGGGTAAATACTGGGACGGCCTAAAGACACAGGACAAGAGTGGGGTCGCTTTGTTCCTTTGGGCTCATGGACAAGGTGGCATTTGATCTGGGCCGTGGGTAAGTGAAGCTCCCCTGGGCAGGTAGAGGATGTGAAACGGGTGAACCTTCCGGGTTTGGGTAGTGGAGTCAACTATGTCCAAAAGGTGGCTGCCTGCTAAGGTTCTCAGAAAATTGTAGAGAAGTTTGGAGTAGCTATCCTGTATGACCTTAGACTGATCACAACACTTCTCTGAGCCTCAGTTGCCTCATCTATAAAATGGGAACCTTTGTAAAAGGAAAAAAATGTGTGTAAAACAGGGTTCCTCAACCTCAGGACTGTTGATGTTTGGGGTGATTCTCAGTTGTGGAGAGGCATCCTTTGCTTTGAGAACATTCAGCAGCATACTGTACCCACTACACACCAGATACCAGTAGCACTCCCTTCCCAGTTGTCTCCAGACTTTGCCAACTGTCCCCGGAGGGACAGAATTGCCCCCAGTTGAGAACCATTGATACAAAATATCTGACAATAAATGGCACAGAGTAGGTGGCCAATAAATGTTAGCCAGCTTCCCAGCTGTATCCCTGGAAGATTTCCTTCACCTTCAGAGAAATTTGCTATTATGTATCATACGTCACCCAAGAATTGGCCCACACTGCCAAAAAGACCATCCAAACATTTCCAAATTTATGGGTGGAACCTACCCTTGGCTCACCGCCAACCCTTCTATATTCTGTTAATCCCTCTGATCCCTCTGGAATATTTCTCCCCACCATCCCATCCCCAGTGAAAAATGATACAACTTTTAACAAATTACTTCAGCTCTCTGTGCCTTCTTTTCCTCATCTGTGAAGATATCATAAGGTAGTTGCAAAGATTCCTAAGTTAATACACAGAAAGTGCTTAGAGCAGATACGTGCTCAATAAGTGAAGACTTACTTATTCAACTCGGGGGTTGAGTGCTGAATTCATTTGGCTGCAGTTGGCAGCAAGGAGGAGAAAAGTGGGCTACTGGTGGGTTAAAACAAAGACATTGCTTATCTGACAAAACACACAAAGGAGATGGGTTCCTCTGGCTGGTTCAGGATTTGGTGACATCATGAAGGACCCAGGTACCTTCAACCCTGCCACCCCCGTCATGGTGGCTTTTCTCCCAAGTCTTAGAGCCTCTGTTTCACAAGATGCTACTCAATGGCAACATCACCCGCTAAACAATAACTCTAAAGCAGGAAAGAAAAGAAAAGGGGGGAAAGGGGTGAAGCTCTCCTCTGGCCTCTCATCAGAGAGAGAAGACTTTCCCCAAAGTCCCCGGCATACAAACTTTCTCTTACACCTCACAGGCCCGCCCAAGTCACATGACCACCCTTAAATAGTCCCCGACCAAAAGCAGGGTTGTCACTATCAAGTTAGAACAGGCCTGCTCCATCTCTCGGGACATGGCTGCCTGGACAACCTAGGTTCTGTTGTCCAGAGAGAAGTGTCTGCCACAAGCACCTACTACAGGCTGGGCACTGAGTGAGATCCTGGGGTTACAGAAGTGATAAGACCAACAACATCAGGCCCTCGGGCAGGGGTCCAGCAGTGAGCACAACAGATAAGGCTTCTGCCCCCCTGGTGCTTCCAGTCCTGTGCAGGGAGAGAGGGACAATAACCAAATTAACAACCAATCAATGAACACACAAACAAACAAGCAAGATCCTTTCAGCTTCTCCAGAGTTGGTTGGTGGCACCTTCAGGCCTCTGCATCAGGTGACTGCCTACTCAGATCACATGACTCAACCAGGGGCTCCGCACTGGTGTCATCAATGGGGACTCCCTTGGTCCAGGGCCTGGCTGCCTCCCAGCTATTCCTGGCGTAGTGCAACTCAAGGAACAAACATGACTAAGCAACACAAGCTGGGGGAGGTTTTTTCTTACCCCTGTTTCAGCCTTGGTCTCTCCTCCCTCCTTTCCCATTGCCTCCCCCGATAACCTCCAGGATCTCCAGTAGGGAGCCTTAGATCCTTGTATATGTCCAGGGCAGGGCCTAAAACAGGCCATAACTGGGAAACATTCATGAAAAGATCAGAGAAGGGCGGGGGGGACTCAGTTTGGGGGTTTGGGAGGAAAACCATGATAATGATAAGGAAATTCTCTCCTTCAGGGACACTGTAGAGTTTCTGTTGCCATGCACTTCGCAAATAGTGGGAAATACCATTTTGTTTCTATTGCGTAAGTTTTACAATTGCAGGGAAGAAAATGCTGCTTGGAAACATTAGATAGTTCCTCATTCCATGATAAGATGCTTTCAGATTCTGCAGGCTCAGGATTCCAAGGCCCCTTTCTCAAGCCCTGCTCAAAAACAAGAAAACACGAGGAAAAACAAGGGGTGATTTGGTCCACCCCTAGTTGAACGAGCCAGGTGAGAAGGGAGTATTCAGACCACCTAGGATTACCAGTCATTTCCCAAAAGCAAAAGAGTTCTCCGTAAGTGAGGCCAGCTACCCAGGGAGTCCTTTCCCCATTCTGAGAACCAGTTGCAGCTTTCTGAAAAGAGGAGCCACCTCCACACTTGGCATTGGACAGAACAGCTGACAGCTCAACCCAACGCTAGACACGCAGGCCAAGGTTCATTTCTGCAAACCAAACTGTAAGGCTCTTTCTGATCATTTTAATTGAGCCACCCCCGAAAAAAATGCCCAAGTCAAATCTTCTCCAAAGGAAGCCTTGCTGTTGGGAGCAGATCTCTCCAGAAGATTCTGGTTCAAGGTTTGATTCAAACAAAATAGATACTAGATTACATCGGGGTTCCAGAGCCTTGCCAATTGTATTCCTGCCTGGAAGGAAATACAGCCTGGAGGAAACAGAGAAGGACAGGCTTAGGACCCTGAGTTTGAATCCCCACTATACCACTGATAAGTGTGCCTTCTCCTTTCCCAGCCTTGGACATTCTTGTACCTGTAGAAACCCACTTCCTGGGTTCAAATCCCAGCCCCACCACTTCCCTATTGTGTGTGTGTGTGTGTGTGTGTGTGTGGCTTTGTGCAAGCAACTTAATTTCTCTGGACTTTGATGTGTCTCTTTGTCCAATGGGAACAATAAGAGTTCTAACCTCACAGAGTTGTTGCATGGAATAAAATAGTTCATAGATCCAACGGGCTCAGAATGCCGCCTGACACTCACGTAAGTAATAGCTATTGTAACGGGGGGGGGGGCCTTGATGTTTGGAGGCCTGGCAACTATCTTGACACCATGAGGAAGGACCATTGCTAACCAGCTGAAGATGGCAAAATGATAGATGGAAAGAACCTGAATCTTTGATGCCACTGAGCTCCTGCGTTAACCAACTGTGGAGCCACCCCTACCTCTAGATGTCTTGTATATTAAGTTAATAAAATAATTTCATTAACTTATTTTTTAAGCCAGCTGGGTCAAATTTCCTTTACTTGCAGCCAAAAGATCCCAACTGATATGCCTGTCTTCTTTCGCCTAGATTTCTTCCCACTTCAATGAACTGATTCCTTTATTAACAGCATGACTGAACACCCCAGCTTGTAGGGGACAATCCAGGTTTCTTTGTCCCAGAATGATTATGAATAGCATCCCAATTTGGATAATTATGGACACCTTATCCTTTGAAAAAAA